CGCGCCAAACAAGGCGTAACGCTCGACGGTCGGCTCCACGGACGGTCCGCGGATGGGTGGGAGGCCACAGATGGCCAGCCACGCGCTCCCCCGGTCAGCGCACAGTACAGTCCCCCGCCCCCGCGCACCGGCTATATCTCGACACACGGCGCGGGTTTAGGGTATCATCCCTAGCGTTATTGAACGCGTTACCAGGACAAAATACAGCAGTATCGCCGGCCCAGGCAAACGTCAACCGGTCCCTACAATAGCCGACGTCTTGGCACAAGTAATGAAAACAGGCGACGGGAGAATATGTAAATATAGCGCGTGAAACCGCGAGACATGGGATCGCCTCGAGTGACAGCCGACTGACAAGCTGAATAGCTATTGGTACGTCACACCAGGGCGGCCCGCAGCGGCCCAGGTCCGCAAAACGGGGCCAGCCATCACACAACATAACTGAAATGGAATGCGTTGAGTTTTGAAGCCAGTGATCATCAGGCGTTTATAATCTAACAGGCGTTTCGCACTCGAAGGCAACATTGGTTCGATCTATCCCCTGGAAAATCAGCTCCAAAATGCAGAGTGGGGCCCCACCCAGAACAAAGCAAAGGCACATTCGTACATACCTTGCGATTCACAATCAGCTCACGGCTGTCCGCCGTGAAGCGCGACAAAACGCCGGACACCGCCGCAGTCCCGCACGGCGCGTCCGGCAAGTCCCTCCTGCAGTCACGCGCCCGCAGTCTCCCACCGCACAACACACTAGCACGAAGTGCCGATCTGACCCGTCACCGACGGCACCGGAGACCAGGACATCAGCTGCCGGCGCCGAACGCCCTCCTCGGCACACAACCCGAGCTCGGTCCGCCGCCTGGCGCGCGGCGCCGCGTCTGAAGCGCAACGCGGTGGCGTGTGCGAGCGGCTCGTGCGGCGCGGCGACTGCCGGGCGGACGGCCGGAACGCGCGGCGGCGGCGGCGGCGGCGGCGGCGGCGGCGGCGGCGGCGGCGGCGGCGGCGGCCGGCGCCCAAGACGTACTCCGGTCACCGGGGCCAGCGGCATTATCATCATAAAGGGCTGGACCGGGAAATAAAACCAACACGGGCGAAAACCGAGCGGCCGCCGCGGCCGCACCAACCGTCATTTACATGAGAATCGGCGGCGCACATGAAGTGGGCCATCGCGGTCAACAGCGTCGCGGGGACCCGGCCGGCTGGCGACGGCCGTCTGACAAACCGGCGACCGATGTGACCCCGGCGTGCCATGGCGTCGATGGCGCTCTCGCCGCGCCCCGGCGGTGGCCGCGCGCTCGGGGACCGACGGCCGGCCGGGGCCGGGGCCGGGGTCAGCGGCGGCCGACCTCTGCCGACGGGCGCCGGCCGCGCCACCGACCGCAGCGGCGGCAGACGTGCCGCGGAGCCGACGGGTGCGCGGCGCGCAGTACTGGACCATAGGACCACGGATGCCAGCCGATGCCGTCCGGAACGCATGACCCGGGGTCTCTCAGCGACACATCCGAATCAACGCCGGAGCGCGGTCATTGACGCGAATGTAGATGAAACACTAGGCCACTTTTGTGAGTGTCACTTTTTAAATCAGTCTAAGGGGGAGGGGTAGCTGAGACGATATGGTAGACCTAAACTATCTCCAAATTATGAGCTCTCTCCAGATTTCGGCCCCTTTAAGCTAAGTTCACGATGTCAACATACAAAGCGCCTTTTTAACAAATATTTGGTCGATTCCAAAACTTGTTTGATCCCTCCCACTTAAAGGCGATGTGAAGCTGCATTTATGTAAAGCTTAGAAAGGGACGAGAACCAAATAAAAATCCTAGTAAATCGACCAGCTGTAGTGATCACCGAAAAAGTGCCTTTATGCACTCATCAATGGTGACGAGAAAAAGATGCTTTATGCAGAATGGCGTGACCTGACCAGTATAGAGGCTATACAACAGACTTGTGTACACTGTAAGAACGTACCTATATAACAAATAAACCTGAAATGCAACAGCTTCTCAACCGACATGTGGATAATGGGAAAGACATACAAGGTAAATGTAGCTGGTGACTGTCACCAGCGACCGTTGGCAAAGCAGTGGACCAACGCTGTGACACGTGTTGAAAGTTGCATAAACCAGAAATGTCTTGAACTAGCAGTGTTTTGACATTATGAGCTCTCTGTGCTGAAAACAATTGTCCTTTAGCACACCAGGAGGATGTGGTTAAACGATGCTATTGCTAAATTATTCGTCATACTGAGAAAAACTGACGTTTGAAAACTGTGCTCTTGGTCAGATTTCTTTGAGAAAAAAAATCCGCCAGCACTACCAAAGGATTTCTTCCAAAGGGACGATAACTTCCGTCGATATCATTTTCTGTAGCGCAACCAGGTGAGAGACATACCGAGGAAATGGACTTCACACCGTTCCGTCCGAAGCGCACCATAGCTCATCCCGACAGCTCTGTTGGTTAGAGCGCCTGCCTTCTTGGGTTAGTCCTTCGAAAGAACACAGTGACGCCCCTGCTAGGCCAGCATTCACGCTCGAACGTACGACTTTCGAGGCACAGCGGAGTAAGGCAGCGCCCAAACTACCAGCTCTGCGCTATCGCTGATATCCCGTGCCGTCCTCTGCGTCATGTCGGGCAGCCGGGGCCCGTGGTCAGTCAGCGCCGGGACCCGCGGTCCGGCGCGGGGCCAGCAGCCCGGCCGCCCGGCCCGGCGCGACGGCGGCCGCCGGCCGGACCCGGACGGCCCGGGCGAGGCGGCCGCCCCCGCGGTGCCGCGGCCATTCACTGTCGCCAATAACACGTACATCAATTACGGTGGTGGCGGCGGCGCCGCCGGCCGCGCGGCGCGCCGCCACCGCCGCGCGGCCGGCCCTGTTTTTCAATCGGACGCCAGTCGGCGCTAATCCTCCGGGCCGGCGGAGGGGTCTCCAATTACGCTCAGTTCGTTGGCCGGCCGGGCGCCCGGCGGCCCGCTGACCCCGATCTCCAGTAATGTCCCCCCCCCCCCCCCCCCCCCGTGACGGGATCGTCCAGCCTTTCCTGAGATGAACGCGCCCGAAACCCTACGGCCGGATCTCGCGGGAGGGCATAACCTCGCCACACTGGCAGGAGGACGCCCTTGCTACCGACCGCAGTCTCGATTACGACCCTTTTCAAAACCGCTGTTAGGAACCCATCGTCTTCGCCTCCTCGTCTCACCCATCGCCTTCGGTCGATGACCTCATGCAAACTTGCGTCAGGGTCACCAGCACCGCACGTGTGCCGTCAGTGGCACTAATCCCCCGCTGACGAGGGCATCATGTCCCGCGCACCACACAGGTCAGGATCAGTCCCCGCGTCGTGCTTCACTACCGCATCCAGCACCCGCTCCCAGCACCTTCAGCCACGAGAACAAGCTACCCCTTCCAAAGCGATACTGCCCTGACAGCATGCTTTGCGGCCAAGCTCCCGTTTCAGATATGGGATGGACGGCACGTCTTCCGCTCTTGCTTGCGGCATCATTTAAAAAAAGACAAAATTAACGACACAGCAAGCCCTCGTTTGAACAAGGCGAAGTTGACGACACAGCACGCCCCATCCGAACAAGATAAAGTTCACGACACAGCACGCCCAAGTGCCGTGTTAGATGAGACAAACGTCAGATGAAACTCGAATGAACGTCACAACCCGTCACAAATATGCATGCACAAAGAGCATGACCCCTGCCGGAAGCCACTGATCAAACAATCTACCATTGATGGCGCCGCTGCGCGTAACGCATACCACGGATCCGATAAATGACTGACGGCCCCAAAGCGGCCGGATCTAATCCGCCATCGTGCTGGCTTTTGTGCGCCTTGCCATTACTTAACTAATTGTTCGTACGATAATTTTGGTGTCAAATTTTTAGTGCCTGCTTAAGACAGCTGACACAGATAAGAAATGACACTCCTGCCGCTCTTTGCCGTGCGATGCGGGGAGAAGGGCGTGCTGTGCGAGAGACAAGCGCTGCAGTACTTACCGTAATATCCAGACTGTCTCTTATGTTGGCTGGCTGCAGACCAGTCGACCAATCAGTGACGATTACAGAGATTCATACCAATGTTGTTATGGGATTTACAAAGGACAAATAAACAGCGGCCGGCCTGTAGCCTGGCAAAGCCAGATCGGTCCCACCGTACGGAATGACAATTGGCAGCCTCAGACAACAGCACTGCGCCAGATGGAAACCATGTGCATCTGCTATGTGATCCGTCATCATGGCTTGCGCTTCATGATCTGCTTTAATTCTAGCAGAGACTTTAAGCGAGATGTTGAGCAGACCGCACTTATACTGGTCGTACGTGCAGAGCACATCTGCACCAGCTGCAGTGCAAATATAGCTGCACGTGTTGTTTTCCCACGTGCCGTGCCGACCCTCGTCCGACTTGGCGGGTCACGACCACCGCACGGCGGCGCAACCAGGCCGAGTTAAGCCGCGACCGGGCCGCTCGAGTTGAAACCCGACACACGGTGTCGCTCCACGGACGCCTCTCCGGCTCAGCGGGCCGCACAGTGTCGCCCCACGGACGCCTGCCCAGCGCAGCGGGCCGCATAGTGTCCCCCAACGGACGCCTGTCCGGTGCTGTCCGGCGCAGCGGGCCGCACAGTGTCGCCCACGGACGCCTGTCCAGCGCAGCGGGCCGCACAGTGTCGCCCAACGGACGCCTGTCCAGCGCAGCGGGCCGCACAGTGTCGCCCACGGACGCCTGTCCAGCGCAGCGGGCCGCACAGTGTCGCCCCACGGACGCCTGCCCAGCGCAGCGGGCCGCACAGTGTCGCCCAACGGACGCCTGTCCGGTGCTGTCCGGGGCAGCGGGCCGCACAGCGTCGCCCACGGACGCCTGCCCAGCGCAGCGGGCCGCACATTGCCCCCCCCCCCCCCCCCCCCCCCCACTCCGCCCCCACGGACGCCAGTCCGGCGCGGCAGGCCACAGTGTCGCCTCGCGGACGCCCGTGCGGCGCAGGAAGTTGCGACTCTGCTGACCTACCTCCCATGTCCTTGAGCTTTTTGGCATACAGCTTCAGCTGCTTCTTGTACTTCTTGACCTGCTCCGCAAGATTATCAATCTTCTCCCGCAGGTCCTGCAAGAAAGAGCACACACAGCGGTTATCATTACAGCCAACGAACTTGTGATATACTTATACCTGAAAAAAATTGGCTCAAATTCCGGCCCATCAGTCCGCCACCATTGCCGTCAGGCTGTTCGCGATGTCCAAAGGCTTACCACAAATATGTTAAGTTTCTGACGAAATGCGCTCCATGGACCTGTTTTTAACAAATCGGTTTATTACAATTTCGAAGGCATTTCACGTCCGAGACGGGTGGTATTGGTGGCTCCCGCCCCACGCCGGCGTGCTGACTGGTTTTCTGCCGCGCCAGATGCGGATGCGGGGCCGCGTGGTTCCCGGACTGGCCGCGGGAGCGTTCTACGGACCTGACAAAAGGCCTCAGGAATTTTTACCGAAATCGTTTAAACAAGGGGACTTGTTAAACAACGGGGACTTGACCAACATAAAAATTTTTGGAAAGCTCAACGAAATTCTGAGCCATGTGCTATTTGGCAGGACAGTATGAGGAGATGCGGGCAAAATGAGGCACAAATGCGCTCGGCCTACCTTGTTAAGGCCAAAAGCCCAGCTCAAACCGTCCAGCAGCCTCCATTGTACAGGCAGAACCCTCAGCGGATCTGCATACACATCACAGGCTAGTCCGTTCCCCACGTCAAGACCCCGACACAGACGAACCGCCGCGAGCAGACCCGTCTCAAGGTTCTCTGGCACCGCGGTTCAGCCCAGGCCACTCTGCCGCATATCATCCCGAACAAGGCGCCGCCGGGCCTTCGCAGGGCGGCCGCCCCGCACCGGAGCCACAGCCGGCCTCACGCACCACCGGCGGGAGCCCACAGCGCCGTCAGACCTTCGCAGGGTGGCCAGGCCGGCACCGGAGCCACAGACGGCCTCACGCACCACCGGCGGGAGCCCACAGCGACGCCGGACTCGCACAGCGGCCAGCCCGGCACCGGAGCGACGGACGGCCGCACGCACCACCGGCGGGAGCCCACAGCGCCGCCGGACCTTCGCAGGGTGGCCAGCCCGGCACCGTAGCGACGGACGGCCGCACGCACCACCGGCGGGAGCCCACAGCGCCGCCGGACCTTCGCAGGGTGGCCAGGCCGGCACCGGAGCCACAGACGGCCTCACGCACCACCGGCGGGAGCCCACAGCGCCGCCGGACCTTCGCAGGGTGGCCAGCCCGGCACCGTAGCGACGGACGGCCGCACGCACCACCGGCGGGAGCCCACAGCGCCGCCGGACCTTCGCAGGGTGGCCAGGCCGGCACCGGAGCCACAGACGGCCTCACGCACCACCGGCGGGAGCCCACAGCGCCGCCGGACTCGCACAGCGGCCAGCCCGGCACCGTAGCGACGGACGGCCGCACGCACCACCGGCGGGAGCCCACAGCGCCGCCGGACCTTCGCACAACGACGAGCCCGGCACCGGAGTCACAGACGGCCGCACGCACCACCGGCGGGAAGCCACAGCGCCGCTCTCGGCCGGCGCCGTCACGCCACACCACTACAGCGCGCGCGTCCCGTCCGGCTGCCGGGGAGGGGCGGTTGACGGGCGGCGGCTGGCACGGGTGCGAGCCGCGGAGGACCGCCGCCGGCCGACACCAGCTGGTGTGTGTGGGGGGGGGGGGAGGGGATGAGATCGCGGAGAACTGGCCGCCCGCCCGCCATCACTGGAGTGGGGTCCAGACCACGAAGGACACCGCGCCCAGGCGCTTCACCGCCAAGCCGCTCATCACAATGCGACCAGGCGCTGTCCGTCACTTCCGCCACTCTAACCAATACAAGTGAAGGAGACACGAACCTATTCCAATGACGCACGCTCCATGAGTCACCCTACCGACATGTGCGTCATCGCCCCAGCTAATGACAGGGCAGCGGCCGAACGGACCGGAGACTCGTCACCAGCGGGCGGAAGAGACGAGCGGCGGCGTCGCTCCAGGCTCAGGATTGGCTGTCGGTCGCGTGCGCCAACTCTAACGAGAAAGTCTGCCACGTCCCAGCTATGAATTCAGAAAAGGCGCCTGGTGGTGCGAGACGGGCCGGTCGCTCACGCCAACCGTCGGCACGGCGTCAGCTGTGTGGTCGGGCACCTCACACCGCCATGGGGGGCGTACGGCAGGACTGGACGGCTGACTGCCGACCGTTCTAGCCGGATTCAACAAATACCGTACGTGAACCTGCTCCTAATCAACCCTCACATCAAGCACTGGTTTAAAATAACATCGGTGACTGGATGGTTCGAAAGCATGGACTACTTAACCATGCAGCCTATTTGTGTTGCCTCTCACCAGAATCAAGGTCGCCTATCTTGCAGCCTTACACTGCCTGTCCAGCCTGACAAGAAAGCGCACAGAAGGGACCGCACCTGTCCTACCAGCGTGGCCCACTCAAACGGACGGGGGGCGAGCAGCAGCGGCCGCCGGGCGAGCCAAAAGTGGCTTCAGAGGGCGGGCCGAGAGCAGGCCCAGAGCGGCCCGAGCGGGCGGCCCGAGAGCGGCCAGAGCGGGCGGGCCGACAGCAGTAAGAGCGGGCGGGCGGTGCCACTCACCAGGTTCTCGGAGGTGAGCCGCGTGATCTCGTGCAGCATGATGGCTTCGTTCTGGCCGGGCTGCGCCTGGCCCAGGTTCTGGCTGATGAGTCGCTGCTGGCGGTCGTTGTCGGCCTTCAGATGACTGAGCTCCTCGCGGTACTCGGCCTCCATCTGCAGCAGGCGCACGCGCTCCTCCTTCTCCAGGTGCAGCTCCTCCGCCAGCTGCCTGCAGGCGACGCCACACAACGGGCGCCGGTCAGCGCGCCGCTGGCTCAGCGGAGCACCCGCGTTCTGAGCAGCGACGCCAGTGCTCGTGCAGGAGGGCATACGGGGCGTAAATACCTCGCACGCCAGCCGGGGATACATCGCGGCCTTCAATCGCGGGATGAAGCGGGCCAGGAGCGTGACGTCACGACCCCACACCCACCGGCGGCGTGCACGGCGAGCGCCGCCGGCGCGCGGCTCCGAGCGGCGCCGCGACTGTCGAGAGCCGGCGGCGGCGCGCCGCTCCATGGGCCCGGCCGGGGTCGCGGCGACCGCGGCCGCGGCCGGCCGGCCACCGCAGCCGCACGACGCGGCGGTCGGCCGGCGCGCGACCCCCCCGCCGCCGCCGCCGCCGCCGCCGGCCAGGGGCGCCGCGAGGCGGGCGCGGCTCGCGCGGCGGGCACGTTCTCTCGGGTCTCCCGTCGAAGGACCCAGTGGGCCGTCACGCGAAGTACGGGAAAAACCTCAGGATGGCGTGACGGAGTGCACGCCAGCTGTCACAGTATCCCCTGATGCGGGGAAGAAGCCTAATAATGGACTCAGACGTCTCTGTTGTTCAGGATAAAACGTTGAGCTTAATGAGAGACGCGTGAAACCCGCATCATTTTGGTGCATAACAACGCTCGCTACCAAGCTGCAATAAAATGGGTGTCTTCCTCCATTTAGACAGGCCGACACCATGGGACTACTGGGACCACATCACTGGTTTGAAGAAAACAAATTATATATATATATATATATATATATATATATATATATATATATATATATACCTCTGTTTGTCTCTTCATACAGGTTCTGCCGTTTCGGGCCCACCGATAGCTGGCATCAGTTGGCTTAGAATACTCCGAACTAAATAGGTCATGATATATTGCAACAAGGCAAATTGGTTCGTTTTCTTGTTTTTTTTTGACAATTGAGAGCAATGGGATCAGCAGTTACCTACCCCTCTAAGCATCCTAAAGATTCCGGAAGCCGTGGCAGCCTGGCCCTCCACACGGCAGCGCTGTTGGCTGCACGTGTAGAGTAGAGCGCAGACGTAGTTTTGCGGGGCCCTTACCAAGTGAGCCCGGCTCCGCTGGCGAGCGGGCTGCTTCACAAGCTCTTTCGCAGCTGCAGGAACTCTACATTACACTCACTCGAGAGCAGCTGCTGGCAGACAGACTAGCCAATGAGCCACATTGCTAGACCAGCAAACGCGAAAGTTTCCTCCACTGAGCCGAGTCAGACACCATCAGCACCCGCAGACTGGTGTCCGCCCGTTCTCAACCCACCACGTGAACGGTAGCACAGCGTCCATCGCTAGCCAGCACCGTTCGGCTCCGCACGCCGCACGGCCCCACCCCGCACCCTGCCACGCGCCAGAGGACGCCAGCCGAGCCCCACCGTCCGAGGAGACGGACGTCGGCGCCCACCTGTTGATCTGCTTCTGCGTCTCGAAGGCCATGAGCACCTCGCCCTCCTCGCTCGTGTCGCGGTCCTCCATCCGGCGCAGCGGGAGGCTGGCGTTGTTGGCGATCACGGTCCGCAGCTGGATGCATTCCTCGCGCCGCCGCTCCACTTCGTCCTGCGGCATGCACGTAACGCTCGCGTCAGGCGGTGTCGATAAGTGCCGAGACGGGCGCGGAGAGTGGGACGGCGGTAAAGACGCGGTCACAGCAGCGTCGATCAGGCCAGGACAGTGGGACGGCGGTAGCGCCGTCACAGCAGCGTCGATCAGGCCAGAGGAGTGGGACGCTCAGTGATGTGCGACTAGCCTTAAGCTGGTGCTGACCTAATGATTATGAGCGCAGCAACTGCAACGATCACTTCGAACACTGGTGTTCAAAGCAACACACGGATCCCAAATACGACCGGATGTTTCCCACCATTTCAACGCGCTGCTGAGCATCGGTCTATCGTTGGCATTCTCAACAGACGGGCACGGAGCCGGTCAGCGGGGCGGCATCTGTGCTGACCCCAGCCGTCGGCGCGTGTCTCCGTGCGCGGCCGACGCACCTGGATGGCGTGGAACTGCAGCATCAGATCGTTGCCGGGGTCATCGCCGCTGCCCGAGGCTATGCTCTGGCGCAGCTTCTGCAGGTCGGCCTTCTGCTTGGCGTTCTCCATCTCCAGATCCTGCAGCTGAGGGCGGGCCGGGGGGAGGTCACGTGCCAGCGCGCAGCAGCCCGCCGCGCCCGGGCACGGCTGGGGCCGAGCCGGGCGGGGAGGTCACGTGCCCGCGCGCAGCAGCCCACCACGCACGGGCACGGCTGGGGCCGAGCCGGGCGGGGAGGTCACGTGCCCGCGCGCAGCAGCCCACCACGCACGGGCACGGCTGGGGCCGAGCCGGGCGGGGAGGTCACGTGGCAGCGCGCAGCAGCCCGCCGCGCACGGACGTCAGTCACTGACGTGCGTGCGCGGGTCTTTTGGAGCGCTGACGTCACAGACAGCGCAGCTGGCCACCCTGACCAGATGGAAACTACGAACTTCTAAACTGGGATGGCTACACAGATACTTCATCATCCGATGGCGCATACCAATCCCCACAAACGCATTCACCAAATAGACTCAAGCAGGACATAATGGCAAAAACAAGACGACGGCCGGCGCCAGCCAGCTCCGGCTGGTGCGGCCGGCGGCTGGAACCCCACCCACCCGGATCTGGTCATGCGCCTGCTTGTTCTCGCTGTCGGGCGTGGCCTGCTCCAGACGCTCCAGTCGCTTGGCCAGCCGCTCGCGCTCCGTCTCCACCTCCTTCAGCTTCTGCTGCAGCTTCAGCACCAGGTTGACGTCCGGCGAGGCCTGGTGCACACGCGGGCCGTGTCGATCGGGTGGCGCTCGCGCACGGGGGTTACCGAGAGCGGCCGGGGGACGGCGCGCGATGTCCGCCACAACACGGCCGGGAGACGACAGCGTGTGATGTCCGCCACAGCACGGCCGGGGAACAGCGCGTTATGTCTGCCACGGCAGGCATGTCAAGACCAGGCGGGTCGGAAATAAAGATGCAACGGGAGATGCTTATAAGACCAGGCAAAAACGACACTAAGCATCTGCGCGCTCGGGATGAAATGGAAGCATTTGCTTCAAAACATTCAGAGGCGCTGCACTGACGGAGATTGCAAGACCTCATCAGCAACAGTACGTACAGCCTGTGGCCACCCCTAACGAGTCGTTGCCAGCAGACGGAACGCACCTTGCGCTCCGGCACCACAATGGTGCGCTCCAGGTCCGGGTTGCCGTTGTGCTTGCTCCAGTCGATGGCCTCCAGCTTGCGCTCAGGCTGCTCGCTGCTGCGGGACCGCACCGAACCGTAGCCGACGTCCTGCCGGCGGACAGGGGGCGTCGGTCTGGCAGGCCGGCTCTGGGGCTGACGGTGTGTCGGTACACTGTCAATGTCAGCTCGCGGGACAGCGGGCCGGGCCAGCCACTGCCAGCGGGGGACTGACAATGCCACGGAACCGAGAGAGGTGTCAGCTGACACATGTAAGTCCCGGCCACACCGATCCAGTCATGAACACCAGCGTCATGATGGCACCATCGCCACCATTACTACCATGAGTCCGCTACAGTGCTACATTTGGAGGGCATTTGCGCAGGACTTTACCAAACAGCCAAAGCTTTGCTGGGGTCAGTCAAGCAGGGTCATCCTCGACTGGGGATGGGGCTCACGCTGAGCTCGTCGTGCAGGTCGGAGGTGATGCTGGGCAGGTCGGAAGCGTCGTCCCGGGCTGCCTCCGTGGTCGCCTCGCTCGCACCGCTCACGTTGCTCGACGACCTCTGCAACGCGGGCACGGCCGCTCACTGGTCAGTGCGCACGGCGACGACACGCGCCCGACGAAGACGGGAAGGGGCACGAGGGCCGAGGGTTGAGGCTGAGCGCAGGGCAGCGCTGAACGCGGGCCATCAGACTGCGCAGTTTCTCAGTGCGGGACATCAGACTTTAGTCTCAACGCGGGCCATCAGACTGCGCAGTCTCTCAGCGCGGGACATCAGACTGCATAGTATCTCAACAACAATACGTTTACTTATTTATGACAATATACCCACATCAAATACTTCGGGACTCTCAGACTCTGACAACCACCGAACATCCCGCGAGAAGCCAGACTGTGTTGGGAGCGGCATCAATGGAGCAGGTGTTGACTTTGCCAAGGCACGCCGTCGCCACGGGCGTCCGGCGCCCGCGGCGCACCACTGCCGCCGGCGACCGGTGTCCAGCGGCTCACCTGGTGTATCACTGCCGCGGGCGGCCGGTGCCCGCCGGGCTCACCTGGTGTACCACTGCCGCCGGCGGCCCGTGCCCGCCGGGCTCACCTGGTGCGTCTTGCCGCCGCGGGCGCGCTGCAGATCACGCTCCAACGTCTCGTTGCGCTGCTCGAGCCGGGCGTTCTCCTGCACGAGTCGCTGGTACGCGATGCGCTCCTGATCATGCTCGGCGTTCAGCACGCTCTTCTCCAAGTCCACCTTTGTCTTCAGCAGCTCTGAAAGACGGATGAGGAGGGGAGAGGTCAAGCTGGAGCAGCCCGCGACGGATTTCAATGTGCAGGGCTTGTGCATGTCTCTGGAATAAGCACATCGGTTTTTTTCCAGCATAGCAAACGAGAACACTCAACAACAACAAAGCATTGGTGATAAACTTGAGGACACGTATAGGTACGCCTGTCCCTGGACTCGCACCTTTCGACTCCTTCTCTTTTGCCTGCTTCTCCTGTTCGTTTTGCAGAATCTGCTGCCGCAGTTTCTCGTTCTCCTCGTTCAGCCGCTGAATGCGATCCTGACCCTCGCGCTCAATCCGATCCTTCTCGTTCACCAAGTCCACCTGAAGCCGCATACAACGGTAAACTGTCAGCGACGAACATGGCAACTGCGCCAAGCGTCTTAACGGGGACACGCCGCTCCAATTGTACAATGTGCACGTCATGAATCCAACGCCAAACAGGGCAGGACGTCATCTGACGAGAACGAGTGAGTATTTCCCCGCCTGGTCACAGCGCTCCTGCTCCAGCTGCTGCCGGAGATGCTCCAGCTCGGACTCACCTTGTCACAGCGCTCCTGCTCCAGCTGCTGCCGGAGCTGCTCCAGCTCGGCCTCCAGCTCAGCCAGGCGGCCCGCCTGCCGGCGCAGCTCGACCGACTCGGTCTTCAGCTTCTTATGCTCGGCCGCCAGCTGGTCGTACTCGCGCTGGCGCTGCTTCAGGCTCGAGTGTTCCCCCGACTGCCGGACGCCGCAGGTGGCGTAAGGTAACAGCGAGGCACGAGCAGGCGCGCGGCGCCACGGTCCGGACCACGTCCGGCAGCCAGCGTCCCGCCGGAGAGTGAGGCACGAGCAGGCACGTGGCGCCACGGTCCGGACCACGGCCGACAGTCAGCGCCCCGCCGGGGAGTCAGGCACGAGCAGGCGCGTGGCGCCACGGTCCGGACCACGTCCGACAGTCACCGCCCCGCCGGGGATGAGGCACGAGCAGGCGCGCGGCGCCACGGTCCGGAACCCGTCCGGCAGTCAGCGCACCGCCGGGAGTAACGGAAGCAGCAATCACCTTTGAGTTCGCCACAAAGGTACTGAGTGCAGTAATCATGATGGAATTGTGGGTCCAGCTCACATGAACACTTACGTGGTCAACAAGATCTGGTGGACACCAGCCATATTTGCACACGACGCATTTGATATACACTACGGAATGAACATTTGCGTTCACGTGCTCATGTCACCATGTTCAAGAGGCTGTCGAAAAGAAGGATCCGATATCCTACTACAGCTTCGTCTTTTACACAACACCGGGATGACAATCGTCTAGAATTACGATCCCCAAAGCAAAAATCGTCTCAAGCATCGCAGAACAGCCCGTGTCTCTCAGCCCTCTTTTGGCGTCGGTGGCATTTCAGCCGGACCCCGACAGCAGCCGGCGGCCAGCTCCGCCTCACCAGCTCGGTGATACGCTGCTGCAGCGAGATGATCTTGTTCTCCAGGCCCTTGTTGAGCTTCTTTTGGTGGTCGATGGAGCGCGCCTCGATCTTGAGCGCCTTCAGCTGGCGGCGGGCGACCATCCTGCGCACGCACGACTGCAGCAGCACCAGACCGCGCAGCGAGTGGGCGTACCGGCGGCGCGCCAGCAGGCCACGCGCATGGCGCTGGATCGTGATGGCCTACGGGCGGCGGGGAGCGGAGAGCGTCAGGCGGAGAGCGTCAGGCGGAGAGCATCAGGTGGAGGCACGCTTTGCAGGCGGCCGGCCTGGTCGGCACGCACGAGACAAAGCATGCTAGTCGTTCAGTACTGAATCTTTCGGGCGCTTCGCCTTCTACGGTCGTACACCGCTCGTAATGTCGGGACGCATCAGTGCGAAGCAGGATGGACGTTAAGTACACAGGCGCCGGACAACACCGCTCAGCAGAGGGAAAGGCAGACTGCATCGACAAAGACATCACCAGAGCAACACATCTGGGAGACAAAGTTACGACATTTGAGGCCACCTACCGACCGCTTCGCAGCCAAATGACCGGAGTGTCAGCCAGCGCCACGCCCGATGGGCGGCGCCACTCACCGCCCGTTCTCTGCGCATCTGCTGGTACCGCTGCCGGGCCCAGAGGCCGCGGGCGCGCGCCTGCAGGCCCACAGCCAGCCGGCGCAGCCGCTGGTGGCGGCGGCGCGCCAGCAAACCGCGCGTCTGGCTCTGCAGCAGCACGGCCGCACGCGTGCGTCGCATGTGTCGGGTCCGCCTGCCGGCCAGCCGGCACAGGCGTCAGCGGCGCCAGTCGGTGGCGCACGGCGGGCGCGGCGCCAGCGCAGGGCACCGCGCCGTGCCAGCAGTCGCCACACGGCGCACCTGGCGCTGGGCACCGCGACGCCGACATGAGAGCGAGACGCAACACCAGTGAACGGGTCCTGCCGGTGAGCGAGCGGACCCTGTCGCCGACCCAGCGAGGACGACCGCTCGCCAGCGGTTCCACTGACCTGCGCGCCAGGAAGCCGCGCACCCAGCGCTGCAGCGTGCACGTGGCGCCGCGCACCGTGCGGTAGCGCTTGCGCAGCAGCCAGCCGCGCACGTGCTTCTGGATCATGATGCCACAGGCGCGCAGCCGGTCGCCGCGCAGCTTCTCCATGTAGGCCACCTGGCCGGCGCGGAAGAAGATCTTGGTGCGACCGAACTTGAACTTGTCCTCGTCCTGCAACGGCGTCAGCGCTGGTGATAGCGGCGGAGCAGCGCACAGCGACCCCACCTTTGCATGGTGGACATGACAGCGACTTTGAGAGGCGCTGCTTACGGATATAAAAGCATCAGTGGCCCGAATCCGCAAATATAGCAGGTCACATCAGTTTCGTCACAATGACCCAAATTCTTTTCTCCAAATAACCACGATCTTGGACATCCTGTTGCCTGCCAAAACGCAAAAACGCGGGCGTCACACGATAGCTCATTTTCACCAAGGTAATCAACTACCAGCTGTCTACAGTTGTCAGGTACCTTGATGAGATTGGAGAGGATGTTTTCGCAGGTCGCCCTCATGTCATTCCGCTTGATGTCCTTGGTGGTGCAGAGCACGCGATACCGATAGAAGAACTCCTGATACAACCACCTGTCATAGGGCGAGAGCAATTAACAGTCCGATCGAGTCTGCACTTGCCTTCTGTCGGCGCTTTCGACGAACAGGCCAGACACACACACCCCAGGCCAGATACACACACTCCAGGCTGGATACACACATCCCAGGCCGGAAACACACTCCAGACCAGGTACACACCCCAGGCCAGGTACCCACACTCCCGGTCAAATACACTCCCCAGGCCAGATACACACTCCCCAGGCCAGATACACATACCCCAGGCCAGATACACATACCCAGGCTGGGTATCACACATCAGTTCTATGGCGATATTGCCATTGGGAGGCACATAATATCTTGTGAGCGGCTGCTTTGCGACGCCCGGTAGCGTTATTACGCCACGCCACAGATCATACTGATTGGCTGGTGGAAGAAGAGCACCAAAAGCCGTGCGCCGAACTCGCGCCCTCCACATGGTGAGCTTTTCAAACCCTGATAGGCAAGTTAATTAGCAAAATTCTCCTCTCTGGAAGGCATAGAGGGCGATTGCTTTTACCCCCGCGGCAGTTCGTCATCGCCCCGACACCCTTAAACTACAAACAGCTTCCGAACCCCGTCGCCCACGCTGGGCCTCGCCGGCTGCTCGCCTGGAGGGGTAGCCGGCGGCGCTGATGCGGATAGTCTCCAGCACGCCGCACGCGCGCAGCTGCTGCACGGCTCGGTGCGGCTCGAAGCCGAACGCCTCCTTCTGGTCGTTGGGCTTGATGCAGCGCACGTAGTGCGGGGTGGTCGAATTCAGCGTGGTCATCAGCATACTGAGAGAATCCCGGAACTGGGAGCCGACCTGCGACAGGGGCGGGAGAGGTCAGCATGCTGGGGGAGGCCCCACAACGGGAGCCGACCTGCGACTGGGGGCGGGAGAGGTCAGTATGCTGGGAGAGGCCCGAGAACGGCAGCCGACCTGCGACGAGGAGTTTCCGTCAAACAGGAAATCTCCATCAAGTAACAGAATAGAGAGCGTGACCGAACTTGCCCAACGGCCGCCCATGTAAAACGTCACACCGCAGCCAGTGCCTGTGATGGAGCGAGTGCGCGGAGCCCGATGGATTCGATGTCACGCACACGGCCGGCTAGTCTGCCCGCCGGCGCGCACCGGGAGATCTGCCCGCAACTTACCGTCTTCTTGTTCTGAGCTCCAGCCTTGACGGCCGGCGCCTTGGCCGACGTCTTGCCGGTCGGCTTTTCAGCAGCGAAAAGCGCCGATACAACCGAATCCTACGGAAACACGCGCGAATTGTAACACAGGAGTTTCCTCCGACGGCGAAGGTTACACCAACACACTGCTCTGCTCAGACCGGCACACAGGTTCGGCAAACAGCACACTGGTTCAAGCACGGTCCTTATTCCTCTCTTTAACCTCCCGTCATCAAGCGTTTGCTGTTGTATTTCAGCGGGCGGGTCGGCTCGCTCTGTCACCCGAACCTCAGTCAGTGACTCTGCCGCCGCGCCCGGTCGCCGTCCCCCCCTCCCCCTCCCCCCTCTCACCAGTCTGGCCCGCAGAACGCTGATCTGCTCCTCCAGCACGGTGTCCCCCACCCCACCCCTCCTCCCCCCCGTCTCACCAGGCTGGCCCGTAGCACGCTGATCTGCTCCTCCAGCACGGTGTCGCGGTTCTTCTCCAGGAACCCGGCCGACTCGTACTGCACCTTGTCGGCGAAGTGGGCGATCACATACGCCGAGTTGGAGAGCCGCGGCTTCTCGAAGTGGCCCGACTTGGCGCACTTGCTGTACAACTTCTCCACCCACGACTGGTCAGAACCCTTCGGCATCTGGCGACGCGGCAGACCCGTCGTCAGAGGCCGCCGCCGCGTCGGCGGGGCGCAAACGGCCGAAGAAGGGTGCTGCAGCACCGCGACACGTCGGTCGCGGCTGGATATAAGGCAGCCCGCAGCCATCACACTTCACTGGTGTTCTGGAGGCACTCAGACACTCCTACACACCAAAAACTGGTATCGGATTTGCTTCTTTATTACACAGCGCTGCACTGAAAATTCGCAAGCGCTGAAACACGCCCATTTCAGAGTTCCGCTAATACGTAGTTATGCAGGAGCAGTCTTCAAAAATTGTTCATGGGTCAACACCATGCAGCCAAAATGCACTGGCTTACAACCAGACCATGAGTCAAACTGATACCCCCCTCCCACCCCTCCCCCCAGGGGCCGGCCTGTCCCACATTCCGGCGCGAACCCCGACTCGCGTGGCAGACCGCGCCACTAACGCCCGTCTGCTGGCCTACCCTGCACTCCTCGTCCAGCAGGTCCAGGACGCCCAGCCGGGTCTCGATCAGGTCGATACACGGCTGATTGTCGTAAAAGTCGATAAAGGTCCACTCGATCTGCTCTTTAACGTACTCCTCCTGCTCCAGTTTGAACACGTGCTGAAACAGACACACAGTTTAAATAGTCCTTCCTAGTTCGAAAGCGTGAAAAAAGACTTGAAACAGACAGGCCAGGTGACAACATGACAAAATTAAGGCCATGTTGGAATGGGAGCACAAAGCCAGCCTACCCCTCAGCAAAGTTTTCAAAACTATGAACAACTGGTAACACATATCCTACGAGCGCAAAACCGCAAATGCACGAGTCCCACCCCCAAGGCACCCCAGCAACATCACAAAAAGCGTCCCCTGAAGTCGGCGACAGCGGCCGTCACCTGGTTAAACTGCTGCTGTAGCTTCTCGTTGGCGTAGTTGATGCAGAACTGCTCGAAGCTGTTGGTTTCGAATGTCTCGAAGCCGTAGATGTCGAGCACCCCGATGAACCGGTACACCTTCTCGGTGGTCTCCAGACACTGGTTGATGCGCGCCACAATGCAGGCGAACACCTGAGCGTAGATGTGCTTGGCCAGCGCGTCGCGCGACGAGGTGGCCTGTCGGAGGACGGGGTAACGGCCGTCACAGTCCGGCCGCGCGCCGCTCGCCCCACGGCCCACTCAGCTGGCGGCGGCCGGCACTTCGCTTCTGTGAGGGCAGATTCTGCCCGTCGGTAACACGCACAGCTGAAGACTTTTCCCAATTCCCTTCCGTCGAACACAGCTACACACCACCACAGCGGTAGAGCCTTTCACCAAATGACTGGACGGTTAGTTCCCAAACAGTGTAGCCGCCAACATACACGGCCCCCGTGCACTCTCCGGGAGCCGCACCTGGAGACGGCGGTGCTCGCAGGCACACTCTCTGTACGCCCGGGCCGCAGCCCCGAGTCTGTCGTAGTGCGCACAGACCACGCAGGACGACCGGCTCAGCGGCGCATCCACCAGCGGATCGGCTCAGCATATACCAGCGGATCGGGTCAGCATCCACCAGCGGATCAGGTCGCATCCACCATCGGATCGGCTCAGCATATACCAGCGGATCGGCTCAGCATCCACCAGCGGATCGGCTCAGCATCCACCAGCGGATCGGGTCAGCATATACCAGCGGATCGGGTCAGCATTCCCCAGCGGATCGGCCAGCATTCACCAGCGGATCGGCCAGCATTCACCAGCGGATCGGCCGGCATCCACCAGCGGATCGGCCAGAACCCACCAGCGGATCGGGCCAGCTTTCACCGGAGGATCGCGTCAGCATTTACCGGCGGATCGGGCCAGCCCCGCCAGCGCCAGTGCACAGCGCATGGCCTACCACGTACCTCCTTGAGGTTCATGCTCTTCGTAAAGGTCTCCCGCATGGACACGATTTTGCGCTTGCAGAGCCAGTGCCGGATCTGCTCGTGGTCCACGTTCAGAAGACGCGCCACGACCGGAAGGCTCTTGTCACCCTTCTGTGAGCGGCGGAAGGGGCGCGGGTCAGGTAAGGTCAGTTGGCGACGAGAGGCACAGACCGCAGTTCACAGACCCAGCCCACAGACCCGAGCTACATAAGCCGACCGGGAAACGCAGCCAGGTCACTCGCCATACCGTCCACTGCCAGGATCTAACCGCCTGGGGTCGTGAAGGAGATACTAGAGGCGACCTCACCCGCCACGCCATTTACAACCAGTCTCCCCATACCGACATCCCCTCGCAGTGGGTCCTGTCCAGAACGCGCACAGGCGCCCGGCCGCCGCCTCACACTCGACAGACGGCGGGGCCGGGGGACCTACCGAGACCCTGCAGGCCTCCTCGCCCCCGCTCATCTCCTCGCGGAACTCGACGTTGCCCAGGTGGAGGATGGCGGCCAGCGTGCGGAAGAGGGCCGTCTGCGTCCGCCGGTCCAGCGCCAGCAGCGTCAGGGCCTCACGCGTCTGCTCAAAACACTGCGCGTCGTCTACGCCGCTGATGGTGGGCGACTCGCCCTGGTTCAGGTAGAAGAAGCCATCCTGGTGACCTGCCGGAGCGCGGTTCGGGTCCTCGTCAGCACACGGCGGCGGCGCGGAAAGAGACGCGGCCTCGCCCGGGTGGAGCAAGATCAGGTTGGGTTGAGTTGGGTCGGGTCGGGTCGGGTCGAGTCCGCATCAGCACACGGCGGCGGAGCGGAAAGAGACGCGGCCCGGCCCGCGTGGAGCCAGGTCAGGTTGGGCTGGGCCGGATCAGGTCGGGTCTGGTCGGGTCTGATCTGGTCTGGTCTGGTCTGGTCTGGTCTGGTCGGGTCGGGTCGGGTCGGGTCGGGTCGGGTCGGGTCGGGTCGGGTCGGGTCGGGTCGGGTCGGGTCGGGTCGGGTCGGGTCGGGTGGGTCGGGTGGGTCGGGTCGGGTCGGGTCGGGTCGGGTCGGGTCGGGTCGGGTCGGGTCGGGTCCGCATCAGCACGCAGCGACAGCGCGGTCGGAGACGCGGCCCGGCCCGCGTAGAGCCAGGTCAGGTTGGGTTGGGTTAGGTCGGATCAAGTCGGGTCTGGTCGGGTCGGGCCGGGTCCGCATCAGCACGCAGCGACGCAGCGGCGGTGCGGTAAGAGATGCGGCCCGGCCCGGGTGGAGCCAGGCCCCCCAAAGGCTGGAGGTACAGCGGGCTTCACGACCGCCGGCTTCACGTGCGATCCAACCGGCCGCCCGTCGCCGCTGACACCACCGACTCGTCTCAGACCAGCGGCCGACAACGCAGCTCTGTCTCCCTGCCGCCCATCCCCCCGCACCGCACGCCACCTCCCAACGACCTGTCCCCACACCACACTGGACACACTGGCAGCGGCTCGGGCGCCAGACATGAGCCGCACCGCTAGCCCTAGCCAGCCCGGCTGGCCGTGACCGAGATACGCACCGAGCTCCAACTCCTGGAACTCCTCGCGGCCCGACACTGCGCACAGCTGGTAGAAGACGTGGTAATTGCGCTCGTCTTGCGCCTGGAACACAACCCGCGACTTCTCCAGCAAGTACGTTCGCATGTTGGCCGCTAGGATGTTGAAGTTCTTGTTGAAGTCAATCTCGATGAACTTGCCTGCAAGGACAACAAACATCAACAGAGCAATGCTCGCGCTGTCATTACAACATTTCTAAACAACACAACGGGACATAACAACAGTTATACAACTAATGCAAGAGCTTGAAATTCGATTGCATCGACCCCAAATGACGTTATTCGGGCTATCCTATTCCGAGCTTCCTGGCGCTGTTTCAGATGCGAATTAGTCACAGCCAATTTGATACAAACAAATATTCGAAATCCTAACACGAAAACATCACGTCCCACCAAAATAGCCTCCTTCGCGTTCGCGCGTTGCTCTCATCATTTAGAGCGCACGAGAACAGCCGCCCGCGGCGCCAGGGGGCGCCTGCTGACCGACGCGCGAGATGTTGTCGTTGCTCTCATCATTTAGAGCGCACGAGGACAGCCGCCCTCGGCGCCAGGGCGGGAGGGGGGGGGGGGGGCTGCTGACCGAAGCGGGAGCTGTTGTCGTTGCTCTCATCATTTAGAGCGCACGAGGACCGCCGCCCTCGGCGCCAGGGGGCGCCTGCTGACCGAAGCGGGAGCTGTTGTCGTTGCTCTCATCATTTAGAGCGCACGAGGACAGCCGCCCTCGGCGCCAGGGGGGGGGGGGGGAGGGGGAGGGGGGGGGGCGCCTGCTGACCGAAGCGGGAGCTGTTGTCGTTGCGGATGGTCTTGGCGTTGCCGATCGCCTCCATGACGGGGTTGCTGGCCAGCACCTTGCGCTCGATCTGGGTCTCTTCGACGGCCGACCCGCCCACGGTGGCGAAGTAGCGCATGGCGTACTTGGCCGACACCGTCTTGCCGGCGCCCGACTCTCCGGACACGATGATGGCCTGGTTCGTGTTCACCCTGGCCACGGCATGCCCAAGTCACGCCGGGGGAGCAGAGCCGCGGGCAAGGAGAGCAGGCTCGGGCGGCGAGTCAACACCACCGCCAGTGACCGACACGTAGCCCAACAACATGTCATCCGCTCCGGGTGAAAAGAGGCCAAACCGTGTGCATGTAGTATGGCTTCTAGAAACACGTGCGTATGTGTTCAAGCACGTGTTTTTAAGGCGGGAAACATGCTTCTCGAAACCATACGAAACGCATAGAAGTACAATTGCTGCAACGCTAGTTAAAAGGACACCAATACGACAGACAGAAACACTACTGCTGTGTTGTTTATAGCAGGGCATTCATCACGGGACAGGAATGGCAACTTAAAGTCTCTTTATGGTAACAACTCTGTCAAGAATAGCAATGAACAGCAATGGTGTGATTTAAAGCCTACTTGCCGAGGGATAACGTGTTTATGGCGTCATCCATCGTGCAAGGAGCCAACAGAGGTCACTACGCCTTCGCGTGAATACATAATGCTCCCCTGCTCAACACCATAACGACTGAAAACGTAAACCCTCTGTAATTCGCGTAGATCGGTGCATATGGCACACAACGAGCCAAGTGAGATTCCGACAGCCAATACAGCACCGAAGCGCGGCCCGAGGGCACCGCTCACCTCTCCATCTTGGTGTAGGCCTCCTCGGCGACGGCGAATATGTGCGGGTCGAGGTCACCCATGGCCTTGCCGCGGTACGTCCATATCGTCTCTGGGCCGTAGATCGGCAGCTCCTCGTACGGGTTGATCGCCACCAGCACGATGCCTGCGGACGCCGACAGGCCGGTCAGCGCCGGGCACACAGCGACACAAACCGCTACATAACGCCCCCACGCCCACTCGCAGACAGCTGGGACGCGCACCCGCACACGCGGACGAACGCCGACAGGTCGGTCAGCATCGGGCACACAGCGACATAAACCGCCACATAACGCCCCCACACCCACTCGGCACAGCTGGGACGCGCACCCGCACACGCGGACGAACGTCGACAGTCCACGCATCACTGAACACACGGTCGCACCGCCACCCGCAAAGAACAGGCGAAGCCTGTACCACACCGTTGGTATGGTCTGCATAACGTATCAATGCCAAGTAAAGATAACGCACACGGCATCATTCTATGTGTGTGTGGGGGGGGGGGGGGGGGTCGGGAGCAGCATACGTGACATTTCAGGAGCGTCACGTAAGACTTCAGCAACTGACCTTGGTCAGTCGCTGGGTCAGTAAGAATGCCGCACCAGCACAGGGTACCGCGGTCATTCAAACACAGACCTGCTGCCATTGATCCCGAGCTCATATCATGCAGATGGCAACAATAAGCACGTCGGTTATTGCCAAATCCTACGACATCGCAAACTCAAGGCAGCCGGTCGTGCTCATGTAAATTTATGAATCAGACAACAAAGAGGAAACGCGTGAAAGCCCGTGATTTATGAATTAGACGACAAAGAAGAACACCGTAAAAGCTTTCACAAGCGGCGTTTACAGCTCCGAATTACTGCCTCACGTTAAGAGTCATCACGGCGATGGATGTCGCGAAGGCCGACTGCTTCGCGCACCGTTGCAGTCGCAGTGCAGACATTGGGCCTTAATATCTCCATGTTGCGGGAAACAGTTTGCATAGCCAGTGTGGCGCTACAGCCACACGAGAGTCGTCCACGGCGGCAGCACGGCGGGCCACACACCATTCCGGATCATCCGGCCCCGTGACATCCAGCTGAGACTTGGTCTACTGACTCCCGCCGGTCGTGGCACGGGCTTTGTTGGGCGGCCACAACGCGTCTTTTTTGTGTGAGTGTCGTCTGTGCTGTTGTTTTATTATGAGGTCATAACGTCCTATGTAGCCACATTTGCCTCACAGACGCCCACAAGCCACGTTTAAAATAGACTGATAATGGCCAAGACCAGCAACTACGATATCAGTGCCACAATCTTCTGTACATTCTACCGACAGCAACTCATAGGGGGCTGCGGGTGAAATGATTCATACTCGTGTGAACACAAGATTAGAAGCGTGCCATTGCTTGCCCACCCTTTATCAGCGCACAAGGCACACAACCTTTCCTTTCTGTGAGCACGTGTAAAGGTGAGAGAACAAGGCACAGTTGTTCAAAAGGAGACCACATCTTCATCACAACAAAACCTCTCCGGGAATCAAAAGCATGATGCATGGTTAAATGTCGCCTAAACAGCCCACAATATTGACGCAATGCCACGGTGGCGAGTGCCACAGAAGCAACGCGGTCACGTGATCACCACGTGCCAAAACAAAACGCGGTTGGGTGATTCAGAGGACAAAACACATAACATTTGGGACTCGTCAGACCATCTCCTCGCCGCCTGCGCAGCGCGTCTGACCCGGTGTCTGCAGCATTCTTAAGTCAGGCGTGGCGGGCGGGAGCTCCACCGCCCCGACTGGCCGGCATTCCGGCATACTAATGACCGGTAGGGAGGGGAGGAGGGGGACCCACAGCCGGAAACCCGCTCGTCCCGCAGCCGCCACGCCCTCGCGGCTCGACGGCAGCCGCTGGCGGCCATTCGCCGGCTCGCTGACCAGGGTCGCGGCGGCAGCAGCCTAATCAGACCTCTCCGATCCCGCCAGATAACGGCAGCCAACGCTGACACCGCGACCGGCAGCTGGGCGAGAGGGGTGGGGCGCTACCACAGCAATGAGACGAATTAGCAATGGTCAAGCGCCATCGCCTGGAGAGGAGAGGGGGGGGGGGGGGACGGGGACGGAACACAATCCGCTGCTATGTTAAATGTCTGCTGGACAATCGTCACATGTAATCACAAAGAGCCAGCTAAGCAGTCCAGCCAAATACCCCGCAGTGCCGTGGCACATACACCGTCGGCGGGAATCCTGGTTCGCTAATCAAAACTGTCCACCAAGGCCTGGGGCAGAGGAACAGCCTGCGCATCCCCAACCTCAGCGGGCTTTCGGGTCACCCCAGTGACCTGCGCTGGCCGTCCACAGCCGATGACAAACACAACCAGAGAGGACCGGTCTCCGCAGCCTCGCTCTGGACAGAGACCCGGCCGAGGGCGCTGCCGGTGCGATGATCACAGGGCCCGCCCGTCTGCTGCCCCGCTTCAAGCCCTCACAGGCCACGCCAACTGACCGCAGTAGGTGTAGATGGCGCCGTGGTCGCAGAAGCGCACGCGCAGGTTGTAGAGCACAGCCGGCTCGTGCAGGTACGACAGGCTGGTCAGGTCGTTCTCGCCGATCAGGATCTCCGGATTCCGCAGCGGCGGCAGTTCAGAGTCGTCCTTGACGGTCAGCTCCAGCTCCTGGCGATTCGAAGCGGGACAGGTGAGGGGTCACGGTCGCACAGGTCAGGGCTACGATGCTGGTCACATCAAGTCGTGGACGCAGTGGGGCACGGGCGCCTCTGTAGTGGACGTAGTGGACCCTCGGCCCACTCGACGCAACACCGCGTCCAAAACAACGCAGTAAGAAGTAAATAAATCGCAACAACAGTCCATGAATTGAACGCATGAAAATCACGGCATAAATCGCACGAACACTCTAGCTAAAAAACAGCACTATATGCCTTTGCCCATGTTAACGTACCGCACACGTCAAACCACAAGTCTGAGTCATCTAGTGCAGCTCTGGGCCGAGCGGCGGGGTGTGACGGGGCGGTCCACCGCCGCCACCGCAGTCTGCCGCAGTCGGCAGTCCACCGCCACCGCCCCACTCACCTCCCCGGAGTCCTCCAGCTCCAGTGTCAGCCGGTCCTTCACATAGTCGGCCTTGAGAGTGGCCGCCTTCCACACGGTGGTGGCGTCTCGCACCCAGACGCGGGCGCCCTGCGGGGCGGAGCGTCAGTGTCACACACCGGACCGGACCAGACCAAGCCAGCGGCACCAGCAGACGCGGACGCCGTAAGGGCGGAGGGTCAGTGTAAAACACTGGGCCAGGCCGGGCCGGACCAGCAGCATCAGAAGCACGGTACGGCACCGTCGCCACCACGCAGGGCTGGCAAGCCGTCCACAAAATGTCGGTCTAGACTGAAGCCCTCTATCCTAGGCTATTCCGCACACTGATTATACAGCCTGTAGTCATAATAGGGGCTTCGGGGCTCTTCAACTGCGCAGTCATATAGCGTCCATGCATTTCTGGGCTGTTGCAGATCCTGCAGATGCTTAGCGAGCGCCTAAATCACATATGAAGACATTTCTCATCTGCATTCTTGAGCCATTTTGATACGTTTCCACAAACCAGACATCATGATACCAGCACCGACATAACTCACACGACCGTCATGGAACTCAGTTAATTGACTCCCCGGTCACGGCAATTGGCTCAAACGGCCACGGTCCAATCGAGCCAGAACATTCCCGCATGTTCGATTATGCCATTGCCGCACAATTTCTGCGTGCGCAGCCATGGGTCTGTCTGATCACCGACTCAGTCCTGGCGTGGCCCCTGAACCCGGTGCAGATGGCTCGGCTGCCCGGCCGTCTGTCAGCGGCCGGCTGCCGCCCCCCCCCCCCCCCCCCTCCCGTAGTGTGTCACACTCCTCTTCGAGCCGGGTTAGCCGCCGCCGCCGCCGCCGCCGCCGCCGCGACCGCCGTACGGACCGTGTCGGCCGAGCGACGGCGCCCTTGGTCCGACCGACCGACCCAGAGCGCCCCCAAAAGGTGAACGGGGAGTGATCGGAGACATCGCGTGGGGCACGCTCAGCCGGCGCTCAGGCACTGCAAACTCGTGAGCACCGCCATCAGAGGCGTGAAGGGCGTCCCGAGCCGGCGCCGTGACGGCTCCCCCACCCGCTGACGGCCTCTGGGCCGACACGACAGTAATTCCAGGCGCCAGCACTCAATCCCATTAACGGCGAGACCGGAGTCCGTCGGCCGGCGACCCCTCCCCCACCCGGCACCCCCGCAGACCGCGCACCCACCGATGTTCTTTGTCACCCCGAACAAGACGGCTCAAAGTCACGAGATCAATGCGTGATGCCCACGTTTCAACGGTCTGTGACACTGAAACCCGCTGCAACAGGCTGGCTTCGGTACCCAGCGGTTACATTCCAGCGACCTGAGCCGAGCGCATCGCATCGCATCACCTGAAACGCCCATTTTACGACGGCCACTCGCTCCCGGCGCTATAAACAGCTGATCACGTCGCCCGGCTGCCCGGCAGTTTAGCGGACCATCAGGTGCGCCGTCTGCTCTGCCGGCCCCGCTGCCCCAGGCCGCCAGCTGGCCCGCGGCTGAAGCGCTGACACCGCAAGGTCAAGGCTATCGATCCGGAGGTGGCGCGGCCGGCCGCCGCGCTCCTCCGCACCGCATGGCCGGGCCCGCGCCGCCGGCCGGCCGTCGCCCGCACCGGGTCAGCACAGTGCCGCCGGTGCCGATGCGGCCAGTGGTCCTCCGCCGCCAGCGGGATGGCGGGGGTCAATGGGCCCCCGGCGGCCCGTTAGCGGCGTCGCCGCCGCCACCTCTCCACACCAAGTCGCCGCAGTCCGGTCCGGACGCCAACCAGGCAGCGTCCAGCGGCGCGACAGAGCGACCGCGGTCGGAATCAGCTCAGACCAACGTCCGGGCCGGACGCGTGGTGTGGCAAGACGTGCGAACCTTGCCGTCTTTGGTCAACTCATTTAAACATTGATCCCTCGGGTAAGTAAGGAATATAATCTAATTATCACAACGGCCGGTGACATGACATAACGCTGAAGACGTACTCATACAGCCGTAGGTCACATTTCGACACAGGGCGACTTCCGGACAAACACGACCAACGTCGGCTGGATTTCACATCCGACGCCGGCGGCTCGGCACTGCATGAGCACGCACGCGGGCGGGCCCAGACGGCACGGCCGGCGCCGCGAACACGGTCCAATTAACAGCTCGCCTAAGACCTACTAGCGCCGGCACGGGCTAACAGGGATGAGCGGGGGAGGCGGAGGGGGGGGGGGGGGGGGGGCGTCGAATCAATGCAGGCACCCGGGGCGGTCGAAGATCTGAGGCAGACCCAAGATTTCCCAACGGGTGCCCTTTGGTCCGACCGGTCCCTGGTCTCCCAGCAGAAGCCCTCTGGTCCGACCGGTCCCTGATCTCCAAGCGGGCGCAATCTGGTCCGACCGGTCCCTGATCTCCCAGCAGAAGCTCTCTGGTCCGACCGGTCCCTGATCTCCAAGCGGACGCAATCTGGTCCGACCGGTCCCTGATCTTCCAGCAGAAGCCCTCTGGTCCGACCGGTCCCTGATCTCCAAGCGGGCGCAATCTGGTCCGACCGGTCCCTGGTCTCCAAGCGGGCGCAATCTGGTCCGACCGGTCCCTGATCTCCAAGCGGGCGCAATCTGGTCCGACCGGTCCCTGGTCTCCAAGCGGGCGCAATCGGGTCCGACCGGTCCCTGCTCTCCCAGCAGAGGCCCTCTGGTCCGACCGGTCCCTGACCTCCAGGCGGGTTTCCCTGGTTCGACCGGTCCCTGACCAGCGTCAAGTCTGGCCGCAGGCTCTTCAGGACATGGGACTCTCTCGACCAACCAGTTCCTTGCACACGATGCGCTTGACACCCGTGTCCGGACGCTGTTCGGTCCGTCGGGCTTGATCAACGTACCCTGTCCCTCAGCACCAAAGTGGGCGTACGTTCAAAAGTCTCAACGGCACACCGTTGCACCCGGTGTCGGATTCAACGGTTCTCAAACGGTCGTTTTCCCGTGCTAGCTTCAAATTTCCCGCCGCAGAAGGCGCACAGCATGAGTGGTGTGACGCTCGACGGTTCGCGATATTGTCACGTGATCTTGCGAGCACGCAGGATGGGTGTGTCGCACAATAATGCATCAGTTGCTTGCTGCTGAAGCCGGCCGTGCTGCGCCCATGTGGCTGCTCAGACACACCCCCATTAGTGACTCAGTGGCGCGTTTGAACGGCCCGATGCGCCGCAGCAGAGGGACCTCTGTCAGCTGTCGGCGAATACTAGTGTTGGTCAATCGGGCCCGGCTGGGGCGTTTCGACGGACGGCCGGCCCGACAGTGCGAGCCCGGCCAGAGAGTATCCCTGGCCAGCCGAGCCCACGGTATGGGCCCGGCCGGGGAGTGTCATCGGCCAGCCGAGCAGACAGAACGGGCCCGGCCGGAGAGTGTCACCGGCCAACCGAGCCGACAGTACGGGCCCGGCCGGAGAGTGTCACCGGCCAGCCGAGCCGACAGTACGGGCCCGGCCGGAGAGTGTCGCCGGACGGCCGAGCCGACAGAACGGGCCCGGCCGGAGAGTGTCACCGGCCAACCGAGCCGACAGTACGGGCCCGGCCGGAGAGTGTCGCCGGACGGCCGAGCCGACGGCACGCCACCTGCGTCAGCCGAACCCGTCATCAGCCAAGCCGGCTCTGCCGACCTATTCGTCTCCAGATATACCCGATCTGCGTGGCCACAGCAGACGAGCAAGCCTGACTCGTGTCAACAACAGGGGCGAGCCGCCGCACCAGTGCAGCCCGTCAGTAGCCGCCGCCGGCCGAGCCGCCAGCAGCCGGGCCCGGACCGGGCCGGCGCGCGGCGACGCTGCCGGCCCACGATCAGCGCATTGTTTCAGGCCTCCGACGGTGAGACCGGCCGAGCCGCCGCGGCCAGGGTCGGCGACAGCGGCGGCCGGGGTCAGAGATACGACCGGTCAGTGGCCGGTGCACGCAATTACAGCCCGTCCCTCTCCACTTACAGTACTGGGGATTGGACGACACGCGCCGGGGGTATCGACCACAGTGACTCATCGGTGGTGACCATTCGACTAGAGTATAACAAAGGGAAACCAATGTCACAGAAAGGTCAAAAGGGTCCGCTTTGCCATCACGGTTAAAAGCATGGAGCTGATTTAGTAACAGAGTGTAGGGCTGTGAGGTCAAAACGGACTTAAGCCAACGAGCAGTGACGACAAAAGAAACGCGTGGGAAACAGAAAGGGAAGACAAGAGAGGAAAAGCGAGAGGAAAGCGAGCAGGAAAGAGCTAACATTCGCATTTCTCCCAACTCGGATCACGTCGCGGGCCTCCACATGGCAGACGGCACGGCAGGCCGGCGCGTGCAGGCGTGCCGGTTGACACCACCGGGCGCAGCGCGCCACGCCCAGCCGCCGCTGAGCGGCCCGACTCCCCGCTCGGTCAGGACCGGACCGCCGCCCAACCGGCATTGGACGTATAATCGCTCGGCGTCCGTGCCAACAACGCTGTTTGCATAGCGGACGGGACCATCTGATGCCCGATGCGTGGCACCGCACGACGGGTCGAGGAGAGACGGCGGTATGTCACAGCCCTGGGTCAGGGCGTGTCCCCTCAGCACGGCGGTGGACGAGATGATCAGCACAGTGCCTTCGACACGACCGCCGGAGGAGCGGCTCCAGACAGCCTCGGGGCTGGAGGCTGTGGTCACGTCAGGGCGGCAGAGCACGCAGTCCAGCCCAGGGTGCTGCCGGGCCGGCGTGGGCCGCCCAGGCGCGTGCGCGTGCCGCGGCCCCTGACCGGCTCTGTTGTGGAATGGCTCTGTCGCCCGTTAACACGGAGGTGAGCGGGCGGGACGCTCTGGCGCATGGGGCGCACGAGCGTCACGCCCGGCCGTGGCCCACTCGTCCGGGGCGTGTCGGCAGGAGCGACGGCGGCGAGGCGGGCCCGCCGGACGCCAGCGTCGCGTACACGGCGGGCCCTCCAGCACGGCGGCCCACCGGGCGCTCTCCAGCGACAGCCGAGCAGGGCTGGCCGGCTCCGGAGACGTACGCCCCGGCCGAGCACACCCAGCCCTGTCGTCCCACTGAGCAGGCGCCGGGACCCGGTCCCGCGTTCACAGACAGGCCGCGGCGCTCGGCATCGGCCGGCCCACC